AAGTATGCCACGCAAAACCAAATACATACATCATATGTACGGCGTAGTAAAAATATAATAACTGTAAATTTTTGTTGAAACCTAAATGAAGACAAATTATAAAAAAGGGTTTTTTAAAATACAGTTTGTGGTATTTCCAAGAAATTATGAAGAAAAAATTATTTCATACCAATTGGAAAGAGAAATTTTAAATAAAATAATTACATTTTTACAGTCATATTTGTTACTTACTACGCACCTACTGTTGAAAATATGTTGGCACCATTTATTTTTTATTTGATTTTTTTTTTACAGAATTTTTATTTATTATATTTTTTTAATAATACTTTTTCATTTCATTTTTTTTTTTATTGTGTAATAGTAGCATTTTTATTTCTTTTTATTTATTTCTTATTTTTTTTATTATATCTTTTAGTTTTATTTAATTATTTATATTATTTTATTTTATTATTTTTTTTTTTTTTTGTCATGAAAAAGTAGAATTTCTGACAGAAAAATACTACCACTACATACATGTTTATACGCACACACCTGGCACTCGAAAAGTTTTTTTTTGTCACGTTGAAAGCTTTAAAAACACAAAATAACACCCATACATTGATGCATAAAAAGCCAAAAGTTGTCAGCAATGCGGCCAACTTGTATCAAGCTGTCGCTGTTAGTGATGCTGCTGCGCCTCCAACTGTCGCTGTTGGTGGTGTAACGTTTTAAAAACTCTTACTGTTAAAACTTTATACCAACTTTTGGGTGAAAAACGAAAGCAAAAGCATAATAAATATATATATATATATTTATATTTCAAAAAAAGAAAATCTACACTTATTGGCAATCAAAAGTTGTAACGCTTCTGTGCGATGTGTGAAAGTTCAGTTTTTGATATATTATATTTGCAACACCACATAAACATATATATATATAAAATTACCTAAAATTGAGTTGGGTTGGTGTATATATTTACTAAAAATATTTATTTATGCGATTAAATTTGTGGCCAAATTTGCCGAAAATGCGTGTTATGTAAGCAAAGGCATTAAAAAGCATATATTTATTATATAATTGTGTATTTGCGTATATATAGACTATATTGCGCAGCTAAATAAATATTTATATATACATATATATATATATATATATTCCCCAACTTACCTGCATTGAAATCAAAATTATGCCAACTAAAATCATCATGTTTGACTAGAAAATATAAAGAAAACTACAGTTTAATTGCTTTTAGCGACTTGTCTCGCTACCGTTAGTCGTAAACCTTTATCATGTTGAGTACAAACGCTTTTTAATAAGCATATGCATAATGCAAACTTTAATAATGGCTGCATGCATTCATTAAGCGCTTCCACAACTACTAGCACACTCTTTTGCCAAAGTCATTGGTTGTAGTTTTGTTGAAAAGCCAAAAATTAATTAAACTTTAACGGTGGCTGTTTGCTGTGGTAAAAATTAGATGAAGACGAGCACAGGCGTACGGCCGAGGACATGCTTAAACTTTTAGACACACATTTATCGTGGTATGCATATGTATGTATGTATTGATGTTGAAATGTGGTAAATAAGCATAACTAACTTGTTTGAAATTGAAATTTTTCATATTTTTCGTGTTTTTATAATGTTTAAAAATCCAGCAAGTGTAAAAAAAACAATTTCTTCTAAGTTTAATATTTCAAAATTTTAGTTTTCTAACAAAAGATCCGTTTCGAGTTAAAAAATGATTTTTTCACTATTTCTGTGAAATTGAAAATTTTTAAGTTATGCTCTTTTACATTTATAGCTGGTGAAATATGAAAATAGTTAAGCTTTACCAATTTTTCGTTCAAATTTACAGTTTTTGGGTTGTAAAGTTTTTAATAATACAAAAAATAATAGTTCAAAAAATACTATTGTAGTTCAAAAAAAGGACTAACTTGAAAGTTTGAAATTTTAAAAATTTTTTTTGGAAATAATTTTTTCGTGATGAAAAATCATAACCAACTTGAAAATTTCAAAATTTTGCGTAAATGTCTTTATCGAGTGGGCAAATGATTTTTTGCTACTTTTGCCGAATGCACAAATTTCAAGTTATACATTTAATGCGTTTAGTGTTGATTAATAATCTAAAAACGGCTAATTATTTTTCGAATAAAAAGATTTTTAATTTTTTTAAGTGTATATTCTTTTTTGAAGACATTGGCGACGAAACGTTAAAATAAACGATCTTGTTGCAAAAAGAACTAACTTCAATTTTTTTTTTCTTTTTTTTTTGCAAATATATTTTTTAAGCTTTGAAAACTTTTCCACTGATTCTGTGAATTGAAAAAAATCGAGTAACGCCTTTTTTACTTTCATTGTGGTTGGAATGAAGCGCAAAAACCAACAAAAACATTTATGATATTGGAAATTTTACATTTTTGAAGAGTTCAAATAATGCTTAAAGACATCGGTAAAGAAACGTTCGAGAAATGATCTTATCAAAAAAAAATATAAATAAATCAAAATATAAAAATGCATATAAAATAAATAAATAAATTATATATAAAATTATAAATATACAAAATTTGTTTCAAATTTTTTTTCTTCCAATTTTAAACAATTTTTCGAAGCTTATTTTGCTATATTTTTTGGGCTTTATGAAAGGTTTTCTGTAAATTTTACAGAATTTAAAAAAGTCATACATAATCTTTCTTACATTTTATCAATGCCAAAGAAGGTTATGCACAAGAAAAAATTAAAAAATAAAATTGCCAACCACCTAAGAAGCCGAAAAGCGAAACGACTCTACTCATAAATGCTCGTACATACATAAAATATTAATCAACAAATGTTGAAAATTCAGCTTTTGGCTTGTCAGTTAGTCAATGCTTAGAAGACATGCCGATGAGTGATGGCAGCCCAAGGGTAAACGTGGATGGTGGAGCTGTTTTTGGTTTTAAGTCTCAAATAAAAGCCTTCTAGCCAGCGATTGGCTTAGTCGTTTTAGTTAAGTTCGCTATAGACAACTAAGAACAGACTGCTTGCTTGCCTGCCTTTTGCTTATGCTTTGCTTAAGATGTTTGCAAAAAGTTTTTGTAACTGCAAAGACATGAAAAGTAGAAATTTTTTTGGTTGAGAAAAAAAATCTTTGAAAATTGCCAATGTAAAGAGATTTATTGCTTTCTGCGAGCTTAATAAATTTATTTTGATCTACTAGTACTATACTGCGATAAAGTCTCTTGCATATTGGTCGATACTATTAAACATTGAATAAAAGCTGAACATAATTAATTCGAGTTTTTTTTGTGAGAAAAATAAGAATTCGTAGCATACATTTAGGCCTCGATAAGAGTTTCGATTTATACTATTTTAGTTTAAATTTAAATTTAAATTAAACTTAAATTAAGGTTATATATAAAACTAAAACGAAAATTTACTTTCAAACTAAAAATAAAAATTAATTTTAAGCTAAAAGTAAAAATAAATTTGATATTTAAATTAATATATTAATTTAAATTTAATCTCGGAATCTTTCACTAATTATTTTTCTACAAAGTTTTGTTGACATATTTCAATAATTTTTTGATTTTCATAGAAATCATTAAATAATTGTTAGCCAATTTAAATAATAAATTAAAAAGTATTTACGTTTTTTTTTTAAGATTTTTCAATATATAATTCAATTTGCAATATACAAATTTGAGCTTGTAAATCTTAATTTTAAAATAGAATCTAAAATAATTGCTTTCGCATGAAGTTCAGAATATTTTCATTTCTGTTCAGAACTAAACCGGTTTGAGTTCATGGATGCGCCGCTCATATCGCTTATATTAATCAAATGTCTCACGTTGCATACTTAGCTGTCATACACTGTCAGAATATACATACAAATATACATCTTTCTACTTTAAGTAATTTATTTTATATGCAAATCTATACCCCTGCATGCTTACATATATATATATGTACATATAGATGCATATATATACTATATACATATGTTTATATAAATAATTGACCTCTACATGTTGAACATTTTATTAACCAATTCAAACAAAAAATATTAATAATAATAATCGAACAATCATTAAATGTTGCTTTTTTGTTTTTTTCTCTTTCTTTTCTTCCTTTTTCATTTTCCATTGTCTCGTTACGTTTATGGAACTGTGTACACACAAACATAAATTGTGTTAATTTATGTCCTGCATTCAACTCAACCAACAAACAAATATAAAACAAAAACATTTGATTTTAAAACATGTCTAAAAAATATATTAAAAAAATTAACATAAAAAATTAAACAAATAAAATTTCAAAATAAAAACAACAATAAATAAATTTAAAATATTAATATTAAAAACATTTAATATTTAAAATTAAAATTGTAAATTTTTAATAATGAATAACAAAATATAAATAACAAATAACAAATAAATAATAATAAATAATAAATAATAAATAATAAATGATAAATGATAAATAATAAATAATAAATAATAAATAATAAATAATAAATAATAAATAATAAATAATAAATAATAAATAATAAATAATAAATAATAAATAAAAAATAAAAAATAACAACTAACAAATAACAAATAATAATTAATTAATAACAAATAATGAAAAATAAATAATAAATGATAAATAATAAATATGAAATATGATAAATTATGAAATATATATTGAAAAATAAAAATTTATGTGTATTAAAAAATTAATATAAATATGAATAAAAACAAAAACACGCTAAAATATCGCCAATTGAAACCAACACAACAACATATAATATTCAAATTTGCAAAAATACATACACACATTTAATCATTAATTAAATTTGCATGAATAACTCTTTAACGTAAATGTTTTTATTAAAAAAAATACAAATAATAATTAATGATGCACGCTAAATTAACAAATACTTATTTATATATATAAACGCCTTTCGCTTGCAATTAAAATAAAAATTACACAAAATTTTTAAATGAAATAAATTCACATAAAACCAAACACAAAACAATAAAAAAAAAAACACCAAATAGTTGGCCTCATATCCACACCAACCAATTTTTGTCAATTTAAAGAACCACCACTGCTGGGACCCGGTGCCGCTTTCCCACCATTTGGCGCAGCAGAATTCCATCCCACCACACCGGAGAATTGGAAGGGCGCCACCATACATCCGACCGGACTGATGAAGGAGCCAGCTGTGGTGCCGGGACGCAATGCACCCGTCACATTCGCTACACAAGCACAAGGACAGGTGAGAGTTGATTTTGAATGCATTTTTCTTTTATGAATAAGTTAACTAAAATAAATATAATATATACATACACACAAATATATGAGAGCATATTGTGGATTTTGCCATTTATTTTATATTTTTGCCGACGTTGCGTATACGCAACTTTTTTATAACTGGCAAAATCGGCAGCAGCGCTATACCCCCTGAGGGTAAGGCAAGCAAGTATATGCAGTGAAAGTAAAAAAAAAATTCTATATACATGTATGTATATATATTTTGTAATATTTCTATATGAAATTCTTTGCATATGCTTGGCCTTGCGTTGCCTTTTCATGTTCCATAGATAATTGCATATATATAGAAAATACACATTTATATACATGACACACATAATACAAACATTTATAAACATATTGTACCTTTATATACAATTTCTTTATATACACAAATCACTTACATATATTGCATTTCATTATATTTATTTCACTTATTATATACAATTATACAATAAATAAACATACGTATATTACTTAAAATAATATAAATTATTTTGTGCATATAAATAATGAAAAAAATACCCGTTGGCCGTTTGTAGTTTATATACATTTATGGATTTTAACTTTAGGACATTATACCTTCTCTCCAGGGTGCTGTCATGATGGTTTATGGCTTGGATCACGACACATCGAATACAGATAAATTATTCAATTTGGTTTGCTTATATGGCAATGTTGCAAGGGTAAGTTACCACATACAGATATACTCGTACATATAAAATTGTACATATGTACATACATAACATGTATAAAATATCGTAACAAATACCATAACAATTTATTTTATTTAACTGCCTATAAATAAATACGTTATAATTAACAGTGTTTCGGTTAGTGAGTTGAGTGCGTTGGATGATAAAATATTGAAAATAAATAAAACTTTTAAAGCTAAAAAAAAAATAATTTTTTGTTTTGTAAAAATATAAAAAAGTTGTTGACCGTAAAATTTAAAATTTAAAAGCAAAAACATATAAGCCCACCAAAAACTAACTGAAAGAACAGGAATATATGCTTAGTCGACTATGATTGTTGTGTGAGCTACACTTTATATGGTCGTACGTGTAATTTCAAGTGCGAAATACGTCGTAATGTGCCGTAAAAATGTCTCAGCTTTTAAGAACGTCGAGAAAAATTTATTTTGTTATATTCCATTTTTTTTTTTATTCTACTTTATTTTATTTTATTCCATTTTCATTTATTTCATTTTATTTTATTTTATTTTGTTNTTTTATTTTGTTTTATTTTATTTTATTTTATTTTATTTTATTTTATTTTATTTTATTTTATTTTATTTTATTTTATTTTATTTTATTTTATTTTATTTTGTTTTGTTTTATTTTATTCTGTTTTATTTTATTTAGTTATTTTTTTTATTTTATCTATCCCATCACCTCTTTTGGCAGCCTGATTTCTCTGCACTGCGACACTGCAGTCAGCTTTTTTTTTGCGACCTTACCGAAATATAGTTTCGTTTGCAACTGCACGTATGAAGTCATTGGCATCAGCTCTCAGAGAGCAGAAGTGGACTCACAACGAGAACACTGGAGAAATGTCTTCCGTCGTGTCACTATATGATCGATCTGGTTTTGACTTTTTCGATTAGGAGACGGCTAAATAGCTTGCTGGAATCTAGTACTACAGAGAACAATATTTTGTGCCACAGCGAAATCGATCAATCTCAACTGATTTGGATATATTGTAGTTATTTCGTTGTGAGGCTGAAATTTTCGACAGTAATGGCGAGGATACCTTCTTTATCCACCCTAGCGTTGAAGTCGCCAAGCACTCATGGGTATGCTCCATACTCTCATAAAATGTATTTTTGGCCAAATCGTCCTTCTCTTGACGGCGGAGTCTTTACCAAACCACGAAACTTATGCAAATTTGTGCTCCTTTATAGGGCTGCTGCAGTAAATGTCACAGTTCTTGCCTCATCCCTCGCGCTTCTTAGACGGCGGTGATGTCAGCCTTTACCTTGGCTTGTCTACAAGCACATCATTCAGCTGGACGGCGACATCTTTCCAATTACAGGGGCATACCTTAAAATCGTGATTTTTATTTCTCATGCTGGGGTGGTCATCAATAGAGGCGCATCTGATCCGAGATTTTTTTTAGCTCACGTTTCCACTGTATGCCTTAATATGCCGTAAAAAAGTACTAGCTCTTGGGAATGTCAGAAAACAGACTCATTCGAGTCTTCGGTTACACTTTTAGTTACAGTAGCTTTATTTATTTTGCTTTGTTATACTTTTTATTTTAATTTATTTTATCTGATTTTAATCTATATTTTTTTATTATTTTTTTCATATTAATATATATTAAATTAATATAATTTTATTTTATTTTATTTTATTTTATTTATTTATTTTTTACTTCTCAACCATTTAAAGAATTTACTATATTTTCTCCCCTCAACGAAATATAATTAAATTCCATAGTCTTCCTCTCTCACTCTCTATCAATTAATTGCAAAAACATTTCCGTTTTTATTTACTTACACAAAGCAGTGTAAAAAATTTACTGCCAAAAATTCTGTAAAATTGCATTTGCGATAGAGATTTTTATTAAACGAGAGCAAAGAAGCAAGTCATGAATTTCAATGGAAAATGCAAATTTATCTACTTCCCGTGCAACATGCATTGCATTAAACGCAATTTAAAAGTACTTATGTATGGACAAGTGTGTGTAGAATCGTAAAAATGCGAATGTGTGTGGTGCGAGTGTGTACTCACTCGTGTATAAAAAGCAAATAATTGTGTAAGCGTGTGTTGTGCAAGCAATACAAAGGCATACTTATGCGTTGTGCAAATAAGTACCAGAAATTTATATATACATATGTATGTATCTATTTGCTATCGGTACGAAATACAAATAAATACCTTTGTATATATAAATAAATACATACATATATACGCATTTCGCCTTTCGCCTGTATTGCACCTGCCAGCTGCATCCTACTTCTCTTATTTATTTATACCAATATTTATTGGAAATGCCTGCACAGATGACCGTTGCAATATTTTTTTATATTTTTTTATACTTTTTCTCTCAATTTCATTTATTCAATTTATTTCCATTAAACTGCATATTTTTTACTATTGACAATAGTTTTGTTAGTCAACGATCGATGGATAGTTTATGCAAATAAAATGGAAGTATACACAAATCATATACTATATATATATACATATGTGTATGTATGCTGCGTGTGCACGTATAAATAACATACTTCATTTTCCATTTGTTTGCCTGCCAATATTCAACTGGTTTAGTTGCAACTATTAGATAAGCGCCGACGTCATTGACTCCATATGAGCATTACAGCTAACTAGTTTTTGCACATAAATACATACATATGTGTGTACATATGTAAATAGATAGCTTTGTGTACGTCCGCTCAGATTTGTTTGCTATAAACCTTAATGGGTAAAAATTTTAAAAGCAAACTAATACAAGCTTATGCATATTGATTGAGGTATACTGCGAATTAAGTGAAGGGGAAAATAATCCTTGAATATATGAAGGGACGATAATCATATAAATATGTATGCGTGATTATACTACATGCAGCAGTGGCTTCTGAAATAAGTTCTAAATAAAAAAAAGTCTCAAGTATTAAATGAACCAATTGTGTACTGTACTCTCTTTTGCCGGAAGATAAGAGAAAGGACAAAAACTTGATGATATTAATTAGAGCAGAAAAATAAAAAATAATGAAATTAAACTAAGCTAAATAGGCTAATTAAGTTAAATGAGATAAATGTACAACAAAATGTAATTTAATTTAATATAATGAAACTAAATAATATAGAAATTTAATAAAATGCGAGAAATCAAATAAAAGAATAAAATAAAATAAAATAAAATAAAATAAAATAAAATAAAATAAAATAAAATAAAATAAAATAAAATAAAATAAAATAAAATAAAATAAAATAAAATAAAATAAAATAAAATAAAATAAAATAAAATAAAATAAAATAAAATAAAATAAAATAAAATAAAATAAATTAAAGGAAAAGAGAGGGAATGAGAAGCAAAAAGTTAAAAAAGTAAAACAATTGTAAAATTAAAAAAAAAGAATTATAAAATTAAATTGCATAAAGTTAAAAAAAATATAAAATAGAGAAAAGGAAAGAAATCAAATGATTTAAATATACTTTTAGATAAAGTTTTAAATAGTATAAGTTTAAATAAATATTATAATATTAAAGAGAATACAAAAAGATGTGATTATATAAAAAATATTAAATATAATAAAAAAATAATACGAAATTAATTTAAACAGAATAAAAGAAAATAAATGACAGTGAAATAAAATAAAAAATTTTAAGTTAAAAAAATGAAAAAAATAATTAAAAAAAATTATAATACAAACCAATTCTTTTTGAAACGATGCAACTACAAAACTCCCAACAATTTTCAAGTACGAGCAGCAGCTGTATGACTAAAACTTTGTGAAAAATTAATAATTTTGCATTCCCTTCTATTATCTTCACGTGCCAATCTGACATACAAGTCTCCATGGAAAGCCCATGAAATTATTCTATCTCTAAACATGATTTTAGTTTATCATCATTTTGCTCAGCGTAAAATATTTAAATTGTCAAGTAATTGCGTCACTTAAGGGAAACCACAACATTTGCAACAATAACAATGGCCCAGGAAAATATTATAATTGCTTAAATTCACAATATAAGCAAAAATAAAATTTACTCACTACACGCACTCTTTCTCTCTCCCTCTCTCTCTCAATACATAGCAAGCAGCTAATAGATACACAAAGTGCTAAGTAAGAAAGTTACAATAAAAGTTTTTAACTACCGTTATGTATATCTGCTTGCTAGTTAAATGTTGCTTCAGTCTTAAAATTAATCCAATTAAAAGTACTAAATGCAAAGCGGGAGTACAGAGATTTGGAAGTGGTGGTAAGTGTATCCATGTACGAGTGTCAATTTGAGTTTAGTGGAATGAATGAACAGTTTATAGGAAATCTTAGTTTTGTAATATTAATATATAATAAAAGCAAATTAATGTCAGCAAACATGAGATCATAAATTTTTATTGCTCCTATACAAGGCAATAAATATAAACACAAGTTTTACTGTAAACTCTTCTTGATATGATTGATTATGCGATTTTTATATATTTTTCTTGGGACAGAACGAGTAGTAATATTAATTATATGCTTGCACAGAGTTTGTAAGTTGATTATTAAGTCTCACGCGACTTTTACTAATTCGAAAAAAATATCAAAAAATTATCAAACTTGGCAAAAGTACCAAAAAAGATAATTCGATTAAAAGAAAGCGTGAGCCTGATAATTTTTTTTAAAACATATATATATATATATATTTCCCTTTGAAGACATTTTAAATTCTTTTGAATAATTGAATAGAAGAACTAGAGAAAGTATCGATAAACTATCGATATCAACAAAGTTTTCCAATGAATAAAGAAATTATTCTCACCACAAATTACTCTTAAAACTTCATATAAATAACAACCCCTTCCTAAGCAATCGACATTTAATCGAAATTTTTCTCAAATAATCGATAATTTTGAGACCACTAATATTACTCATTGAAATTAACAAAAAAAAAAAATAAAAACAAACACATTGAACACAAGGCCACCCACATTTATGAGAGTAAAATAAATATCGATAAATTATCGATATTGT